CTACTGCAATTGATCAAAGCGATTAGAGGGTGTGACCAGATGTTAGACAAACTAAAGTTAGGTCTGATATACATCCTTGAGACCGTAGTGCGGTGTCACCACAAGAAGACCGCGATCGACCTTTTTCACCTGAAGATTATCGACGACATCGATAGTTCAACAATTACCCATGGGGCAGGAGATGTTTTGAGGATACCGTACACGTGGCCACGTCGTAGACCTCCAAGATGATGTTGCAGCGCTCTGATGTGATATTGCGGGTAGGCGATGGATTGGCAGAGAGGGTGGTGGAGAGAGAGGTCACTCACAGTTTTGGATAGATACATTATAATCATTTTTGTTCTCTGTGGAGCGAAAGTGGATGCCTCGATGAGGACAGGAGAGATGACGGTAGAGGAGAAGAAGGAAGCGGTGGCCCCGATGAAGATGGGAGAGGCAATCACGAAGGAGAGGACGGAACGATGGCCCCGATTGGGACGGGAGAGGTGACGGAGAAGAAGAGGACGGAGGGGGTGGTAAACCCCGATGAGGTGATGATCCCCGGGGCAGAGGAGGGAAGAAAGCAGGAGAAGAGGCTCGTCGTGACTGAGGGTAAGAAGCGTGTTGTTGACATGACAGAGCAGGTGATCGGCAAGAGGTCGAGATTGCTGTTGCAGTATGTCGTTTCTCCCTTCATGGTCAAGACGAAGAGGAAGAAGTTCGTCGATGGAACGTTTCCCAACCTATTTCAGGAGGTAGACCATGCCAAATGGAAAGTGTTCATTATGGAGTAGAGAAGAATTTTGCTCGAGTAAGTATTCATGATATTAGTAAAGTACGCTACGTTACTCAAATATGCTTCTTTAACATTTTTTTGTTTATTTTTTTAGGACCAGCCGCATAATCGATCAAACGATGATCTTCGATGCTTATAAGTGGTTCCACGACATCATCATTTCAGGAGTTTAGCTCGCCGACGATGTAAGTGAAGTAATCATATTGTTATTTTTTGTGTATACAATTTTTTGTTTATGCAAGAAAATAACTCCATTTTTAATAGTATTTCTTAATACAGCACATCGACTTGGCCATGGACTTATTACATGATCGGATTCAAAGATATCCGAGATCATTTCACAGTCTTGGCTGAGTCATACTGAAATTGTAGTTGAGACGAACCATTGACATTGAATGCTAGTTGATCCAACGTGCCACTAAGGAGTACGCAGTCCCGACTACATCCTTGAGTGAACCATAGGGATGCAACTGCATGTCGAGGGAAGCCATAGGAGGGTTGTATGCATATGTACATACCAATGATTGTGAATCATCACTGCATAGTTTTGGAGATTATGTTCGCTGAGTCTACTATATATGTGTACGACCCCGATCATTCATGTCTAACACAGGGTCAGCTCGAGAAAAATTCGGAATCCATCGTTGTTTTTGTCCCTATGATGGCTAGACGGGGGGTTGATTGTACATAACAGACTAGCCATCGTGCGAGATACAACAACAACGAGACAGACAATACCGTAAGTGGTTGTAAATTTTTTAAAATTTAATATTTAATTTTTTTAGCTGCACGGTACTGATCTAACTCATTATTGTTCAATTACAATGGCGATTGCGGCATATTTGTAATAAAGTATATTGAATTTTTTAGTATATGACATAAGGTTAATGGAATCCACTAATCATGAATACAAATTTGGAAAAATAAGTTAGCGTGCGATTTATATGACTTTAATTGTGATTCGTAAATACTGTAACTATTGATTTTTTGAAATTACGAAATAATTGTAAACACTGTAAATATTGATTTTTTGTAACTATGAAATGTTTGTAAACACTGTAAATATTGATTTGTACATTGTGAATGAATATAATTGTGTATTATTTTCTTTATTTAAACACTTTATCTATGATGTTAATTATTTATGTTAATTATTTATTTAAGTAAATAATAATTAATTAAATTAATTAAAAATAATTAGTTATATAAAAAATGAATATTAAATACACAATTAATATTTATAACCAACTAAAAATAAATATTAAATAAATAAATTTTATTACACATCTATTACATCGTTATGCAGCGAAATTTGACTTGTACAAAATTATCATGTATGCCCTGTTGCGCCGTACTTACGAGATCTACGTCTAGGAGTACGTGATCCGACTTCAGGTAGCAACAAATTATTCAATGACGGAATGTAGTCAGGAATTTTCCACTCGACTTTATTTGGTATAGGGAATATTGTTTCAACATACGATACTCTCCAATAATTATTCGTATAATAAACACTACACAATGTGTGTGGTAGGAATCCTCTATGCATAGCCAATGTCATTGCATGTGCACATGGAAAACTCTCACGGAAAAGCGAAATTGATTCAATGGTTCTACGCATACCTTTCTCGCCACATCTAAAGTTTTGAAGAGTTTATCTTCATGAGCTAGGGTTAGCACATTTGTGCAACTCTGTGATTCCTCACGCTGATCATGTAACTACTGTTATAACTTGTCATAAATGTTCTCAATCATTGAGATAATTGGTAACTCTTGATCCTTCTTGAATAATGCATTGGGCGACTCCGCATTGTTCAACGTCATCATGTTGTATCGACGTCCTCGAAAATGTGATCATGCCCAATGTTTGATCCCCATCTCTATTAGATACTCCCATGCAGCATGCAATTTATTGTCTATTTCGATCATGAACTTCTCAAACCCTTCAAAATTGTAAACCTTTGCAGCTCTTCTAAACAACGCAACGATAATACTACCTCGATACTTAGTCTTTAGGTTTCCCTGTATATGGTACATACAATAACCATGATGTGCCTCAGAGAAGACTTCGACGATACCATTTATTAGTGACTATCCTCGGTCGGTTACGAATGCAAGGTTCACGATGTCCCGAATTACTTCCTTCAACTTTGTGAAAAACCAATGCATCGCATCATTCTCTCCGTTGACTATACCAAATGTAAGATGGTAGATTTGGATGTTGACATCTTGATATGTTGCAATAATCAACCTGTCATCTATCTAGCCTTAAGGGTTGTACCGTCAACTCGAATTAGGGGTCGCATCGCATTTTCTAAATCCTCGAACGCATTGTCCAAGAGTCGTGAAGAAATACTTAAAGCAATTATTGTTATTCTTTTCAATAAAAAAAGTCGGTCTACAATTAATTTTTCCCATATTATAGCAATACCTAGCAAATTTAAATAAATAATAATCAGAATAAGTAATTAAATATTAAATTAACAAACAAAATCGAAATAAATAATTAACAATTAAAATAAATATTAAATAAGAAATTAAATAATAAAATACCTGGCCAATTTAACATAGCTCTCATCGATCGAACTCATTAAATCTTTCAACTGAACCCATTAAGTCTTTCAATGTGCATTCTTTGGCCTCCCAAGCCTTCTATATCTCATCACTACCCCGTACTCTCGACGAATATCATTAATGATATCCGAAGATCTGTAGATCGTTCATGGGTTTTGAAACTTGTGCATTATTTCTCGACTAATGAACCATGCTCGAGTTTGCCTGTGATCATTTCGACAAATACCCACTTCGTAAGTATATTCTCGTGCATACTTACGAATTACAAAGAACTCGTTTGTGTCCATCTCCGTCGCTCGCAAACGCCAATGACAACTGTCGTCAATACTGATAATTGTGTACGACGAATTGTTTGATTTCTTCACTTTAAATTCGAAGTTGTATTTCAAAGCAATCCGGTGCACAGTTTTCTGCAAATCTTTCTTTATTTCGAATAGTTGCTCGACATATAAATCTTTGTCATCAGGAACTAAACGCGAACAAATAGTTGACCGTGTACTCGGTCCAGCCTGTGAGCTATCACTCGACTCACGTCTCCGAAGGGATAGAGTATTCAAATCCTCATTTGTGAATTCATTTTCATTCTTGTTGTCTTCAATTGTCGAGGAAATCTGTGCATAACAATGAGATCACGTTGATGAACAACTGTATCGGTAATGACCACATTGTCCTTATTAGCTATCTTCACTGTATCTCAAAAATCATTCACATCACGATCCCCTCCATTGAAATCATCGCGTTCACCATCGGGGACATTCTTCGTTACCAAAGTTACATAAATAGGAATCGAATACTCTGGGTCAATTCAATTAAAATCTGCATTTCAGTTTCAGAAATAACTGTTATAGGTGGAATTTTCTTGTCGAATAGAAATTCCAATTCCATGTCGTATTGAGAGGGATCGACTTTGAGCGAGTTTTGTAACTCATTGTACATTTCTGCATACGATGTATTTGATGTTATTAGAATTGCAGTAGAACCACATCTTTCACTCGTCCATTTTCACACTCATTGATTATTTTTCTTCATTTCAAATTCACCAAAATAACAAATTGGGACTGCAGTCGATGCCATATTTGCATTAGGAAACGATGATTTATAAAAAAAAATTGTAAATACGTGGAAAAAAGAAGGAAAAAATTGGAAACAGTCAGCTGTTACAGTCAACTTTTTAACAGCCGCGGTAACAAACAGCCGGTGTCTGTTTGATTTTTCAATTTTGTAGATGAATTTTTTCATCATTCTTTCTAAAAAAATTATCGATCCATTTAAGACTGTAAAAGATTATCTGCCTAAGTCGAAATAAAGTTTAAAGATTCAAACAATATATTGATTTTGCTATAATAAAATTAAAAATACGTTAATACATTTGAATGATGGTTGTGAATAATATTTCCTTGTTAAGATTTTGATAATCTTGTGAGATCTTAATGTTGAAGCAGATGAAAAATAAACTTTTTTTTTATCTGTATTGTTGAAACTGATAAGAAAAGTGATTTGATTTTGAAATTTACGTGGAGAGTGTTTGTGTTTATTTAAAAAGGGTATTATTGTATTTTTGACGATAATATGTTTTCGTAATTACAAAACATAAAAATGAGCAAAATCGTTATTTAAATTTCAAAAGGCCTTTAAAATTTTTTGGTTAATTTGGAAAAATGGTAGTTTAACTAGGCTAAACTAAAAAAAATACCCTGGCGGCAGATAAGTTGGAAGAAAACCCTCAATAAACCACTGTAAATCGCCGTAGTAAGTGGCAGAAAATGGAGCTGTCGAGGGAGGAGACGCCCCAAAATGACACCCTAATTGATGATGACGACGATGATACTCCGATGCTCAGCTCTCAAGCACTGGAAGCACTCAAGGAGTTCCTGGCTGAACAGAGCCGCTTGGTGGTGGAGGCTTCGCAGGAGGAGGAGGAGGTGGCACTGGTGGCGGAGGACTGGCGGCTCAGCCAGTTCTGGTATGATCGCGATACCGCCGAGACAATTGCTCGTGAAGTAATTATTCTATGCCGAAAAGTGGATTCTCCTGCCGTTGCTTGCATTGCTTGCCCCACTCTCTATGCCTATCTCAAGGTACTTTACAGTAGTACTAGTTAAGGTGCATAATAAAGGTCCAATATTTGGAATATGATGCACAACATTGCAATTGAACTGCCTAAACTGCTAGGGAGAAATCAGAGTAATCATTTAAATTTTATCCTCAACGCTCTTCTTCACGTGCAAATTGGATTCATTTTTATTTTATTTTTTATGAAAGGTTTCAAATGTGCAAATTTTTATAAAAATGGTGGTTGTGAGACTAAAACTTGGGTCTTTAAGCCTGATTTTGATACCATAATATCCATATCTTTTGACAGCTCTGTTATGGGAACTTCTATTCATTTATTTAAATATCTTCTTCAACAAAGTTCAATATTTGCTCAGAATTATAAACATTAACGGTTTTTACTTTCTCATTATATGTTTAGAGATTTTAGTATCCCTTTAGCAATTGGCAATGATATTATCGAATGACAATGAGCTTAAAAACTGCTTGGGGGGGGGGGGGGGGTTTTTTTTTACCCTTTTT